TAATCAGACAACAAAAAGGCATCTGAATCAGCAAAGAATTGAAACTCTCACTCTTTGCAGATGACATGATATTCTATGTGGAAAACTCATAAATTTAGCGAAGTGGCAGAATTTAGCAAAGTGGCAGAATTTAGCAAAGTGGCAGAATGTAAAATCAATGCACAGAAATCAGTTGTATTTCTATACACTGAGAAAGAAATTAAGGAGTCGATCCCATTTACAACTGCACCCAAAACTGTAAGATAATTGGGAATAAACCTAAACAAAGTGGCAAAGGATCTGTACTCAGAAAACTATAGAACACTCATGAAAGAAATGGAAAAGCGTCCCATGTGCATGGGTTGAAAGGATAAATACTGTTGAAATATCTAAGCTACCTAGGGCAATCTAAACATTTGATACAATCCCTATGGGAATATTTTTTCACAGAGTGAAAACTTTTTCACAGAGCTGGAAGAAATAATTCTAAAATTTGTTTGGAACCCGAAAAGACCCTGAATAGCCAAAGGAATGTTGAAAAAGAAAACAAAGCTGGTGGCATCACAATTCCAGACTTCAAGTTCTATTACAAAACTGTAATCATCAAGACAGTATGGTACTGACACAAAAACACATAGATCAATGGAATAGAACAGAGAACCCAGAAATGGACCCTCAACTCTAGGGTCAACTAATCTTTGACAAAGCAGGAAAGGAAACTGAAGACCGTCTCTTCAACAAATGGTGTTAGGAAAATTGGGCAGCCATATGCAAAGGAATGAAACTACACCATTTCCTTATACGATACACAAAAATAGACTCAAAATGGATGAAAGACCTAAATATGAGACAGGAATCCATCAAAATCCTAGAGAACACAGGCAGCACCTCTTTGATCTCGGCCACAGCAGCTTCTTGCTAGACACATCTCCAAAGGCAAGGGAAACAAAGGCAGAATTGAACTACTGGGACTTACCAAGATAAAAAGCTTCTGCACAGCAAAGAAAACAGTCAACAAAACCAAAAGACAACCAACAGAATGGGAGAAGATATTTGCAAATGACTTACCAGATAAAGGACTGGTATCCAAAATCTATAAAGAACTTATCAAACTCAACATCTAAAGAACACATAATCCAGTCAAGAAATGGACAGGGGTGCTTGGGTGCTTCAGTTGTTAATCATCTGCCTTTGGCTCAGGTCATGATTCCAGGGTTCTGGGATCGAGCCCCACATCGGGCTCCCTGCTCAGTGGGGAGCCTGCTTCTCCCTCTACCACTCCCCCTGCTTGTGGTCCCTCTCTTGCTGTCTTCCTGTCAGATAAATAAAATCTTTTTTAAAAAAGGAAAGAAAGAAAGAAAAGGACAGAAGAGGGGTTCCTGAGTGGCTCAGTCAGTTAAGTGACTGCCTTTAGCTCAGATCATGATCCCAGGGGTCCTGGGTTGGAGCCCTGCACTGGGTGTTCCGCTCAGTAGCAGATCTGCTTCTCCCTCTCTGTGATCTCTCTCGCTTTCACGCTCTCAAATAAATAGTCTTAAAAAAAATTCTCAGGATTAAAACTCAGCTTAAATGTTAAAAAAATGAAAACATTATGGTAGTTCCTCACAGTTAAAAATAAAATTACCATATGATCCAACAGTCTCATTTCTGGTTATATACCCAAGCAATTGAAATCACAGATACGAACAGGTATTCGTACACCCATGCTCAATATTCACAATATTGCATTATTCACAGTAGCCAAAAGTTAGAGACAACCAGGTGCCCACTGGCAGATGGATAAAATATGGTGTAGCTACATAATGGAATACTTTTCAGCCATAAAAATGAGGAAAATTCTGACACAAGTCACAACACAGGTGAACCCCAAAGGTATTGTGCTGAGAAGCAGGCAGTCACAGGAGGACAAATACATACAGTTTCGCTCCTATGAGGTAAAGTAGTCAGATTCATAGAGTCAAAGTAGAATGGTGGTTGCCAGCAGCTGGAGAGGGGAGAATGGGAGCTACTGTTTAAGACATTTAGAGTTTGGTTTTACAAGATGAAAATGTTCAGAATATGGATGGTGATGACTATACAACAGGATGAATACCAAATAGGGTTAATACTGAACTGTACATTTAAAAATGGTTAAAGTGGTAAATTTTATTTTATAATTATAAAAAATTTCCTGGGGGATTACTATCTAGCCTGATCTGGAAAATTGGAGGTGGCAGTCAAAATGGGATGTTTGAAATCATGATTGTAAAGACAATGCAGTTATTGAGAGTGATTAAATGTGCCCTAAGACCATGGGAGCGAACAGATAAGGCAGAGGTAAAGAATGAAGACCAGAAGAGGTCTAGGGACCCAAGTGCCCGAGTATTGGATGAGTTGGAGGACAATGAAATCACCACAGCCTAAGGACGAGAGAAATGAAGCCTGAAGGGGCGGTGGGGGAGGGTGGTGTGTTTTGTGTGTGTGTGTGTGTGTCTCTCTCATGGCAGGGCGGCTGCTCACAAGGAGGCCCGGGAGGATCCTGGGGCTGAGGGGTTAAATGTAAAGGCAGGTCAGTGCACAGTGCCCAGCAAGAGTGGGCACTCTGACGTCAGCCCGCATATCCCCCCGCTGGACCTACAATACCAGATGCTCTATGTACGCTTTTAAGTGCTTGTATTTTTTAGTTGATCAGTAACATTTCTAATGTATTTCTAAAATTCGGTAAGTTAAAACTTCAAGGAGAAAAATCTGGGCTTCAAGGATTTAAATGCTTAAGACAGGGCTAGACAGAAAACATTCTAGGCTTTTCAGGCCCCACGGTCTTTATCACAACTGCTCAACTCTGCAATGGTAGCAGGCAAGCAACCACATACAGTTCATCAACAAATGAGCATTGTGGTGAAATGAAAAGGAAACATTATATACAAAAACAGGCAGTGGGTTGCGGTTTGCTGACCCCTGGCCTGACACGGTATTTGTAAGGTAGTGCTGCAGTGTTTTTGTACCTAACATTCTAAGGATTTAGTAAATTGTACTTGTCAGTGCCTATTCTGTAAGATTTGACCCTTTTTTTTTTTTTAAGAGTTTATTTATTTGACAGAGATCAAAAGTAGGCAGAGAAGCAGGCAGAGAGAGGAGGAAGCAGGCTCCCCACTGAGCAGAGAGCCTGATGCAGGGCTCGATCCCAGGACCCTGGTATCATGACCTGAGCTGAAGGCAGAGGCTTTAACCCAGAGCCACCCAGGCACCCCTTGACCTTGACTCTTAATTAATCTTAGCAAAGCCATGAAGTTATACTTCTACATAATACTTGCTAGATTCTGACTATGTAAATCATGGCAAAGGTTTTATTAGGTTTCAGGTCTAAAGATTATATTTCTGAAACAAGCCAAAAAAAAAAGTTTTTCTTGTGATGACAGACCTTAATGAAATATCTGTGGTTTAATCTCTTTCTCATCAATTTTCAGGGGTCCAGATTAGATGATCAAAGATGTGCTCCACCACCTGCCACCACAAAGGGACCAACAGTACCAGATGAGGACTTTTTTAGCTTGATTTTACGTTCTCAGGCAAAAAGAATGGATGAACAGAGAGTTCTCTTACAAAGAGATCAAAACAGAGACACTGAATTTGAACTGAAGGACCTTATACAAAGTAATGCTTTGTTAGAATTTAAAAATACAGGAAAAAAATAAGCAAACTCTAGTTATTATGGATGTATTTTTTTTTTTAATGACCTTATTTCCTTTCAGAACACTGCAGGGAAATTCAATCTATTACTTTTTCCTTAAAAGGAGAAATTATAGCACTGTAATACAGCTTAAAATGTTCTAGAATGATATAAATAACCTTTAATAGTATGATATTAATTAACATTTCTCTGGACACACTTGTTTCAGAGTGGAGGGGTCTTACAAAAGGTGCTTCATCAACTTTCATGATTCAAGCTCCGGACTGTGTTCTTTGGCAACTTGTTAGATTCCTTTACCTAGAGTTTGTAAAGTAGGAAGATAAATAAATCTAGACTAGAATTTAATCCTCTTGCTGAGATAATTTTTTTAAATCTGAATTGACAATGGCTTTTTTTTATACTGAACCATGGATGTAGTGAGAAATTTTGCTGTTTAGTAAAAATAACATACTTGCCCATGTGTAAAAAAGTTATAGTCTTATTAAAAAAAAATCTAGATCAATCTTTTTCTGCTAAGTCATATTTTCAGTATGTCATTAGTTCAAAGCCATTACAAAAAACTCTTAAATAAACTTCCAGCATGTTTTAGGCCCTTTAATTTTAAAGTGTGTGTGTGGCTTAAAATTATACTTTCTATTACAAAACACAAAACATTTAAGACCTAATGTCAAAACAAAACTTTAAATAAGAAACCCCCCCCCAAAACTCTTGTGGTTCTATCAAGAACCTAGGCCATGAAAATAGAAAATAGATGAAATTCACAAAATTTAAGAATGAAAGATATAAGTTAAGCCTTCAGTCATCATTAAACCTTCCCTCCCCCTCCCAGAAACTGAAGGTAATTTACAAGGTTATTTAATAGGACATGACACAAAGTAAGCTTAGCGAAAGAAGATAGCAAGGATGGAAAGAGCAGAGCCTAGCCTAAGGGTGAATTCTAGAATGCAAATGCCCACAGCCAGAACAAGTTGACAACTCATTCACTTCTGGTTGCTTCTGATTCTGCACAGCCAGGATGGAATCAGGGGCTCTGTTCTTCCTTAAAATCCTTCAGGTGATTTGGTGGATAGTGAGAACCACTTCTCCAAACGGCCAATGTTTACAAAAATAAAATAGAAAGATAGTTAATCTGGAATCACATCAAAGGCTCAGGGGACAAAAAGATTTTTGGTTCTAAGATCAGACAAATTTTGTCAAAAGTACTCAGCACCTGGATCATCTTGTCTTCTATATTACATACAGGATATAACGTCCTAGATAGCATTCTTGTAAAAACTGCACGTAAGTTTCATGGGTTTTTTTTTTTCTTACATGCGTATTTGATGAGCAAAGACAGCATACCAAATCACAGTAATGTAAAAATAAGTGTTTATTTTGCATATACCATAGTTCTTAGACCCTGTAAACATTCAACATTATCTATTCCATTTAAACACTGCTTTTAAAAAGCTGTCAACCCCATTCTGATTTTCTTAAAACCTGTTGCTAAAATCCTTGATTCTAATGACAGATATGGGCTGGACAAGAAACAAGTCTATTTCCCCAAGTTATAAACTGGCCTTGATCTGTTCAGTCTGCTTTAGTGTCTTCCCTAAATTGCTGTCATCATTCAACAGCAGTGGTATGTTGCCTCGCTAGCTGTCAAAGTGGACCGCATCCCCAAACGGATATCTGTAATGAAAGAATACAAAGATGAAATTCTACTTAGTTTTTTACAGATCCATTTTTGGATTGATAAAAAGCAGTCAGGAGTTGAAACAGCATTAACTCCACTATCATAGTTAAAGGTCTGTCACCTGAGGCATTCATTGCTCTTTAGAATCCAGTCACAGCTCTGATGACAACCACCCTAGGCACATATTTCCCCCACCCCCAGCACATATTTACCAGTTAGTGTGAACAGGTCTGGCCCTCAGGGAAGACTTAATATGCATCGATAATCACAAAGCCACTCAGAACTGCAGGCACCCCTGCGTTAGTTCCTTTGTTCTAAACCTACTGTGTTGTGAATTTTTATATAAAATCCTGCTGTGTTTTCTGCAAAGAACTATTACCTTTCTGATGAATTACTAAAGATGTTTGCAATATTAAACTAGAAAATAATATTAACAATAAATTCTACATCCTCTTGCTGAGGTAATTTTTTAAAATCTTGACGACGGCATTTTTTTATACTTAACCAGGGACATACAGAAATTATGCTGTTTAGCAAAAACAATGTACTTGACCAAGGTGTATTCTCCAGCTACTGACTATGTAAAACCACAATCACCGATTTAACAAGCTGTGCTAACTAAAGTCTCCTGGCCATCTTCAGTTCTGTCTTAGCTGAGGGTAAAGAGGGGCAGCAAGAAAGCGGGCCCAGTGAGCACCAGAAGAGTTGAGCGATGGAGGCACCACTCGCAACGACGAAGCCATGATGAGCTGGGGCAGCCTCCGCAGAGACAAGGGAACACAGGTTCAGTAACTGCATTAAGACACTGAAGTGCATGAAGAGGGTAAAGCTGATGACAGCGGACTGTCCTTACAATGGTTTCTGAGTACCTGCCACTTTCAGAAACATACCGAATCCATGCACAACTCACAAATCATTAACTGAAGTAGGTATTACCGGATGGCCACTAGGCAACACACACAATAGCTAGTTGGTACCTATATATGTGTGTGAACCATAAAACTTATTTTTCCTTGTTCCCTGATTCAAACTGGCCTCTTTAATTATCTGAAATCAGTGATGCTTGCCATATGTTCATCTATGAGATCCTGTTCCAAAATTAACACCTCAAAGTCCCGCAGGAAGCACCAATATGAAAATGAAATTACGCAAAAGATAAAATTAAACAGAAATACACGTGTATTCATTAGTTCTGATGGTGAATAAAAATATTAATGTTTAAGCTGGCACCTGTGGAGTAGTAAATGTCAGAATATTTGTAGAGAAGAGCAAATAGTTGTGAAGAGTATACTTTACAAAACCCAATGATGACCTCCGAGTGATGGGCCGAGTCTGTGCTCCTCTAGCCACGTGGGCCAGTATCCAGATCCTTTCCACAGCTGGCCGGGCAAGACACACTGCCTTCCTCTGGGCTGCCTCTGGCATCAGTTCTGAGCTGGGCCTTTTCCTCTGCAGGTGAACCTTCCACCTTCTCTGATGTGTCTGGGCCAGAGACAGGCCTAGTAGACTGGCTACTGTCAGTACTGCTTTCTGGCGGTGTGCTTTCTCCCTGGATTCCACCAAATTCCTTGAGCTTTGTATCCAAAATAGGTAATTTATGCTGTAGAGAATATTTTAATTGTTTAATTAACATAATGTGAAGATTCAGTCACCAAACACACTTAGTAAGTTTCTGTGTAAATCTGTATCAAACTCTCAAGTGTTTCAAATCCCAGCTCCAGTGCTGTGCTGTAATTATGTCAATGTTCGTAATCCTCACAGAACCCTGCACAGAGGAGTGGGGGCACTTAGGATAGCCAGGTGGTCTAGTGACCCAGCTTTAGGAGAGCAAGAGGACTGGTGACCAGTACTGGTGACTCCTCTTGCCTGGTGAGAGTAATTCATATTTACTGATCCTATATTCAGTTCCAGGTACTGGGGATACAGCAGGAACAAAACAAAAACCCTTGCCCTCACTGGAACTTAGGTTTAGCTTGGAGACACAATCAAGCAACAAACTAACAAAGTACCAAGCTGGGGCCTGAGTGCTGTTTAAATTAGGTAGTCTGAAAGGTGATACAGGAGTAAAGGCTTAAAGAAATGAACACTTCAGCATTCTAGACAGGGAGCAGCAAGTTGAAAAGGTTCTAGTTCATGGAATTGTGAGGAGACCCTTGTGGCTGAAGGAGGGCGAGAGTAGGAGGAGAAGAAATCCATGTACTAATGAAGGAGGACTGTGGGCAGATCCAAGACGCCCCGGCCACTGAGGTAACTAGCTTTCCCTGTAAGTGAGATGAACAGTCCCTGGAGGATTTGGAATGAGTGGTGCACTGCCATTAACTATTAAAGCTGAAAGGCACGTCGGAAAAAATTTTAGATGTATGCAAGTATGTTTCCTCTTACAAGAAACTCCAATGGAAGGGATTCTAATTTTCTAGATTCAACTGTGCTCACAATTGTTTCTCAAAGGTTTACAGTAACAACTTAAGACATCATAAATTCTGCTCTCAAAACAGAAATGCAAGTCTCCCTTTAAATGGCCAATAATGTAGGAAAAAACACCTCAGCATTCTGCGGGTAGAAAGTAGAGAGTCTAACCAATGATACCAAGGATTTGGGAAAGCAGGGTGTGTGACCCCTCCCCGCCCAGTCTCCCACCCAGCAGAGCCTTCAGGACTCTCCTGCAGGATCCCTGGGGCTCCAGGCCTTCAGTGAGGACTTCTCTCTCAGCTCTTCAAAAGGCAGAAATCTCAGTCACGATTAGTTGGCTTCCTATGAATTAGCACCTGTTCTAACTACTGGTTAATAGTATTTAACATAAAAATTAAATCTCGTTTTAGATCTTCTAAGAAGGCCGAACTTTTGACCAGAAAAGAGAGAGTAAACAATTATATCAATAACGATATAATTAACCGTGGAAAGTAAAAGAGCAGAAACGCCTAACCAGAAGCTCCACAGGAAGCACTGAGGTCTAGCATGAAGGGGGATGGCAAAATAAACAATTGCTGACTTACACAGGGTACGGCCTTGGGATGCTCTCTCGCCTCTGCCTGGGGTACATCACATGGCCGGAGCACTTCGGGGCTCTTGTTGCCAGTCCTAGGCCTCAAGTCAACATCTCTCTCTCTCATACCATCTCTTCTACCCTCATATGTTCTGTCATAAGGGCCTTGCTCAAAGGGGCCGAAGTGGCCTCTATAAGGGAAATCTGCATCACCTGCTCCACCATGGGGTCTATAATCAACTTCCTGCAGCCGTCCTCTATCACCTGGCTTAAGGGCCCGGGGTGGTTCTCTCTCAGGACCACCTATATGTCTCAGCATATTAACTGATTTTCCAGCACCATAGCAGAAACTCTAGAAGGAAAAAGAAAAAAATACATAGTATTTAATGGCTGACTTACAATGAAATTAATCAGGGTGCTAGCAAAATTACCTAACTTGACTCAAGGGCATTTGGAGACATAAATATGTTTATTTTACCATTGTTTCATTTGTGATCTCTTGCTTAGATTAATACTAGGCCAGAGTAGCCAATAAAATGTGAGAAATCACTAAGTGTTAAGTAGACATTTCAATCAGCTGAACACATTTTGACTGAATTCTAACAAGGGCAGTTGGCTAAAACCTAGAAACTGAAACTGGAAGGTACTAATTGATAACTGCTCATCAACTGTCTATTTTCACACCCACTATATAAGGTAAATGCTAAAAATCAGAGTTACACACATCATTACATAAACATTCTCATGTATGGTAGCTTTCCTACAAATACAAACTTGGCTTTAGTGACAACTAAAATCCAACAGGCTTTGAGTCCCATTTCATGGGAAAAACTAGGCAGCAGTTCTCAAACTGACCCCTGGTGGTGGCAGGGGGGGGCGGGGATCCCTGGGACAGTTTCAGGGACTCTATGAGGTCAAACTTCCCCTATTTCAAAGACCTTAAGTCTTTTTTTTACTCTTCCCTTCTGAGTGTATGGTGGAGTCTGCTGGGGACAGAGTAACTTCCTCACTCTGATGGCTCGACTGTGTGCTTGTATAGACTTATATTTGAAATTTTTCTTAGTTTTAATTCCTAATATGGTAAATATCAATAAATGAAACCCCTATGAACAAGAGCTCTTCATGGTCCTCAGTTTTTGTTTCTTGGAGGCTTTTGTGTTTTTTGTTTTGTTTTGTTTGTAGTCTGCAGTTAAGACGGAAGGTCTTAAAGGATCCTAAAAACAAAAAGTTTGAAAATCACTGTGCTGGAGAAAACTATTTAAGATGAAGCAGTAAGAGGTGATGGGTTTTTGCTTATAATACAGCTTCAGAGACTAAATACAAATCGTTCCCCACTTATGATGGTTCAACATATAATTGTTAGGCTTCACAATGCTAAGAAAGTGATAGTGTGGGGCACCTGGGTGGCTCAGTGGGTTAAGCCGCTGCCTTCGGCTCAGGTCATGATCTCAGGGTCCTGGGATTGAGTCCCGCATCGGGCTCTCTGCTCAGCAGGGAGCCTGCTTCCCTCTCTCTCTCTCTCTGCCTGCCTCTCTGTCTACTTGTGATCTCTCTCTGTCAAATAAATAAAATAAAAATATTTAAAAAAAAAAAAAAAAAAAAGAAAGTGATAGTGTGTTCAGTAGAAACTGTACCTTGAATTTAGAATTTGGACTTTTTCCTGGACTAACGATTTGGTGATTCTGGGCAGTGCAGTTCTTGGTCAGCCACGGGGTCTTGAGGGCGAACAACCCCTACCTTCACAACCACACCTTACCCACACAGCCATTCTGTTTCTCACTTTCAGTACAATATTCAGTGAACTATGTGAGATATCGGACACTTTGTTATAAATTGTTATAAAAATGGGCTTTATATTAGATTGATTTCGCCCAACTACTCTGAGCAAGTTTAAGGTGGGCTAGGCTAAGTTATGATGTCCTGCAAGCTAGGTATAGTGAATCCATTTTCGACTTACAGTACTTTCAACTTACAATGGGTTTATTGGGATGTAATCCTATAAGTCAAGGAAAATCTGCACTACTAAACAATTCATGTCACCTAACAAAACCATATCCCTAAACCTGACTCCTGTAATCACAAGTCAAAAAAGCAAACAGGAATAATTTCAAAGTGAATAAAGTGTGGTAAATTCTGTATCCTTAGGGAAGACAATCCTTTTTAATTATTATTAATTTAAATTGGAAGGTATTAATTGTCGGATAATTATTCCTATGTTGTGTATATTCACACCCATCAGAGAAAGTAAATGCTGAAAATATTTAAAGTCGTAAACTTTAAATAGGTTAATTCCTTTACAAATACAAACCTGGCTTTTACCATGGCACATCTGGGTTCTTTACATTTTATGTGACAACTGCTTTATTAGGGAAAGGGCTGAAAATCAACAATAAAAAAGCTAAAGAGACAACAGATGAATGATGAATAATGTTTCCTCTTAATAAATGTCTATTCCTGGATCCCCCAACTTTCTCAGTAACTCACCTTCTCCCACATCCCTACTTAATTCTGTGGAAAAGCCAATGCTCTTCCCCCTCTCAGTGCTGCAAAAACCCCAGACTGAAATAAGGCCCTCTTTCTCAAAGAGGACAAAAACAACGGACTTCATGTATATTAAATATTCACCAAGTTGAAGAACAAATTTAGAAAAATGTTATTATTCTAAGTCACTGCCATGACATCTACAATCAAACTTGAGAATTGTTTTCTTGCTTAAATATACATATAAGTAAAAATAAATCTGTATCACTTTAAAATCATCTTTTCATACCATTAAGCATAATTTAGCCTGATTTACAACAGCAAAAAAATCAAGTTTTAGATTTGCCTTTTTTCTCCAAGTGCTGTTAACAAACCATGCTGTATACTAACCAGGACAGCTAATGCCATAATGATCAGCACTGGAATGTGAAGTAATACTGGAATCTCCTTCATGAACTCTTTAATAAATTCACCAGCTCCCTTCCCAACGTATTTCAATGGCTCTGTGACAAAGTTGGTGAATGTAACTGCCAGTGCCTAAAACAAAAGATAACAACAACTTAATTTTTCTCTCAAAGGACTGAGCACACAGAATGAGCCAAAATTCACTGTACACTGGTCTGGCCAAAATTACATTCCTAAGTTAAAATGCTTTCAATGTGAAAATCATTGTGTAATGGAAGTATTTTCCCTAGAACGAGGATTTCTTATTAGCAAAATGTTTAAAAAAAAAAAAACACTAACAACTTTTAATAAATACAAGAGATTTTTTTTTTTTATTAACTTTGTATAAGTAATTTTACAAATGTATTCTATACCTTTGTTGGCGGGACCAACCAAATAGGGTTGACTAATAAGAGTTCATAGTATTTTTGGCATGGGTCATCCTTATAGGTCCATGAGCTTCTTAACAATTCTATTTAGAGAAACAGACAAAACACTGAGTCATTAAAAAAAAAAAAGTTGCATTTCATTCCCAAATAAGACAATAATTTGGTTTTGTCCCTGTCCCCACCACCAACCAATTTTAAATGCTGTGCAAATGAACTCCTTGTAACACTGACTTAAAAATTTTTCATCTTATGTCCAAAATGTTTATCTTAAAAATCTCTTTAAATCAGACAAGTCTTATGTAGATAAAACATTATACTTTATGAAAACTTCTAAAAGGTAGGTATTAAGAACTGTTCTTCACACACAAATGAATCCAACTAAAACCACGGAAATCTGAGGGAGATCGCTGAATTATATGCAAGTTGATATCCTGGCTGTGATCTCACATTGCCATCTTTGTGTAAGACGTTTACACAGGAGGAAAATGGGAAAAGGGCACATTGATTTGTTTTCCTTCCAACTTCCTGTGCATCTAGAATTATCTCAGTAAAACTGCAATTTTAAAAAATCCCTTACTTTACAAAACAACATCAGTTCTCCCAATTTTTCTAAATCTCCCAATTTTTCTAAATTTTTAAAATCTAAACCTCCTAAAGGAGGCATTCAATTGTCCCCTGCACCCAGGAAGCAAGGCCAGATTGGTTTAGTTCCCACAACTTCTAAAGAAACGTTAATTCAGACACCCTGTTTTATACAATCTGCGGAGATTCTATTCTGGGTCAGTTATTATGGACTTGCCTTTATAAAGTGCCTTTGAACACTAAACCATTCCTATGGCTAGATATACAGAACTAAAGGCAGTCAACAGTAGTGAGAATATATATACAATCTGTAAGGAAAAAGAAAGTTAAAGAACTTTCCTCTTAGGAAAAAAAAAATGTATAGTAAAGCTACAACATAAGATTTTGTAAGTCAGTATAAGGAGATTAAGCTTAAGATGGATATTAATTCATATAAACACTGATTCACTTCTTTAATGCACATGCTGGGCTAGACAGACAAGATGAGCACCATCTCGATCACAATCCAATGGAGGAGACAGTAGCAGTACGGGAGCCAGTGAAGACACAGTTCTTATTCCCTCCCCGTGAGGTTACATGAGCCAAGAGTCACAGTCTGAACCCTGACTTTTCGGGCATGTTCTTCTGACACTGAGGACTCAGTCATGGAAACCCTCCTTTCGGCATTTTATCATTTCTCTAAGTTATCTCCTTCCCGGAAAAAAATGAGGCTCAGTGAACCAATACCTTACCCCAGAGGCTTCCAATCCAGTCCATCTTCTCGGCACACACATTGTTTAACGGCTCCAGCTTGGCAACCTCGGCCTGATGCTGTGCGAACGCGAGCTGACCGACACCAAAAGGAAGCAGTGAGTGGCTGCGGACGTGAAGGTTATGTCTACACATCCAAAACCCTGACTTCAAAACGTGTCTTCACCAGACACCAGACTGTTCACAGTTTTTTTAACAGGAAAAAATACACTTTTAAATGGCAGCTCTTTTCCACTCATGGCAAAGCAGTCTTAAAGCAACGAGTGAGGATAAAGAACTACGGTTACAAAGTACTTCTTTGTTAAGTACTTTTTTTTTTTTAAGATTTTATTTATTTATTTGATAGAGAGATCACAAGCAGACAGAGAGGCAGGCAGAGAGAGAGGAGGAAGCAGGCTCCCCGCTGAGCAGAGAGCCCGATGCGGGGCTCGATCCCAGGACTCCGAGATCATGACCTGAGCCGAAGGCAGCGGCTTAACCCACTGAGCCACCCAGGTGCCCCTGTTAAGTACTTTTGATGAGAAATGCAAACCTTTGTACTTTTTATAATAAAGATTTAGTGTAAATCTAATTCATACCACACCCAAAAATATAGTTATATATATTAAATGACCACTTCTCATTTTCTTTCATAATTCATGATAAAATGGAGTTTTGTTCTGGGTGGTTTTCAGCACAAGTGGCCTAGATAAAAAGATAACATTTTTTATATATCCAAGCCCTGGGGGAAACTGCCAAGATAACAATATGCAACCAAACTTCTTTCCTTTAATTTGAAAATAATTAGTTCTAGAAGCTATAGAACTTAGAGCAAAAGGTTAAGGATTGATTTAATCAGATAACTTCATCAAAAATATTTTGCTACCAGACAGATCTAAAATTGTCCTTCAACGCGATTTCAACACAACAGTAGTGCTTCATTTGACTCTTTATTCACCATGACCCCAATTTTGAAAGAATTAAAATTTTGGAAAAAGACCAGAAAGAAATACCTGAAATTACTGAGGGCAATTATCTCTAGGTGACAAAATTATATTTAACTTTTAAAAATCAAATTTCTGGGGTTCCTGGGTGGCTCAGTCAGTTAAGTATCTGCCTTTGGCTCAGGTCATGATCCTGGAGTCCTGGGATTAAGCCCCACATTGGATTCCTTTGCTCAGTGGGGAGTCTGCTCAAGGATTCTCTCTCCCTCTGCCCCACCTCCTGCTCACACTTGCTCATTCATTCTCAGTTTAAAAAAAAAAAATCAAGGGGCACCCAGGTGGCTCAGTCATTAAGTGTCTGCCTTCAACTCAGGTCACGATCCCAGGGTCCTGGAATTGAGCCCTATGTTGGGCTCCCCACTCTGTGGAACCCTGCTTCTCCCTCTCCCACTCCCCCAGCTTGTGTTCCCTCTCTCACAGTCAAATAAATAAAATCTTAAAAAATATATTTTTTTAATAAAAATTTTTTTTTAAATCAAACTTTTGTATAACTTTCTATTTTTTTCTAAATCGTCTACCATCAATATACCATTTTCATATTCAGAAAATAACCTAACTTCTAAAAAACAACATTTTGATATCCTTTCTGGCAAAGAATAAAAGGACATACTCTAAACTACCTACACAAAATTCTTAAAAATGCATCTACCTAGCTCTATTCCGATTTAGCCACCCAGATGCCACCCATCAGGAACTGGGTTACGAATCAGGCCTGCACCAAACCGGTCAGGGACCCAGAACACCAGAGACAGGGGAGCGGCTGCCAGCACCCACCCCCCACCCGCCCCATCTCCGATCACTGCGGACACTTTAAGTCAGGCACTGTGGTCTTCTGTTATTATGAAGTTACAGTGAAAAACATGAAAACGCTCCACCTATTTAATACCTTATATAAATACATCCAATTCCATCCCAAACTGACGAGGAAACTGATGAATAACACACGTCTCAGCTGGGTGTACCAATGCACATACGTCCACAGCTCGGTAGCTACTAATCCCACGATACAGAGCAGACAGAGAAGCACCTCAAAAACAGGAAGAAGCAGAGAGCAGGGTTACTGCTAAGCCACCCTCCCTGCTGAAAAATGATAATCATCAGCAAAAACAAAAGAACTGGCCTCAAATATGCAACGTCATCTGTGCCACACTCGGCCACAGAGGTGGCGACAGACAAGTGTCTTCATCTGGGTTCTTAACATGATTATAGTACAGGGGCTTCTTAATTTTTATTTAAATTCAATTAATATACAGTGTATTATTAGTTTCAGAAATAGAGTTGCATAGAACAGTTGCATAGAACACCCAGTGCTCATTCCATCACATGTCCTCATCACCCTGTTACTCCATCCCCACCCTTCTCCTCTCCAGCAACCCTGCCTCTTGCCTGGTTGAGAGTCTCTTATGGTTTGTCTCCCTTTCTGATTATGTCTTCTATTTTTTTCCTCTCTTCCCCTATGATCCTGTCTTTTGTATCTTAAATTCCATATATCAGCGAGATCATATAATTGTCTTTCTGACTGGCTTATTATTTCACTTAATAAAACACCCTCTAGTTCCAGCCACATCATTGCAAATGGCAAGACTTCTTTTTTGATGGCTGAGTAATATTCCATTATATATACCACATCTTCTTTATCCATTCTTCAGCTGATGACATCTGGACTCTTTCCACAGTTCGGTTATTGTGGACACTGCTGCTATAGACATTGGGGTGCAGGTGCCCCTTCAGATCACTACATTTGTATCTTTGGAGTAAATACCCAGTAGTTTGCTGGGTTGTAGGGTAGCTCTATTTTTCAACTTCTTGAGGAACCTCCACACTGTTTCCCAGAGTGGTTGCACCAGCTTGCATTCCCACCAACAGTGTAAGAGAGTTCTATGGTGGAGTTTTTAAAGCATTTTTTTAAATGAGCTGTTACTTATGTCCCCCTTGTCCCATCTTACCATCAACACATTATATGGATCCACTCCAAAGGAGTCTTCAAATCGCCACTTCCATGTTTCAAAATCATGAAACTTAAAATTAATTAAAATATCACTTAGTGCATCATCCAAGGCTCCCGGTTTCCAATCCTCTCCACTGAGAAACTTCTGTATTTCTAACAAGGTTTGTCTTTTTAGAATAATCTCAGCATCATAATGCATATCATCTTTGTTTTCTTCAGGCTGTATTTGCCCAAAAAACAGAAAAGAGAAACACTTCAAGACAAAAGCCGATTTGGAACTAAATATATTTGTAGTTTGTATTTCACATGTATAAAATAGCAGTAATATTATCCACCTATTTGTCTCACATAATGACCAGAAATCATACATGTGAAAACCATTTCAAAATTTATGAAACTCTATGCAAATAAGATACTTTGCATTTTACCAAAATACGGTCGATTCTTACTATTGGCAACAGTTTGTTCTAGGACGTCACCTCGGACACTAGTTAACGAATACCTGAGCTACGGCTCCTACAGGAAATACAGGGTTGCGTTTCTACCAAGACATTTTCATCAGCCAGTCAATACACAACACTTTTATGTGTTTCTACTTAAAGATACCTTATTTAATACTTTTGATTAACACTGAATGCACAGCCAACAGCACTGTAACTCCTGCCCAAAAAAAGCTTATCTAACATGAGTATTTTCCCTGGAAGGCACATCCTAGCCTTCTCACGACTCAGAGACACTAGTCCACACTACTCCTGGGAGTTAAACACCCAAATAACATCAACAAAAGTGTGAAATATGAAGCACTAAATAAACCATAAAGAAGTACTTGTTTATAGTCTGAGAGCTGAAAACAGAAGACAGAACAAAGCCTTGCTCAGCCTCAGCTAGGAGTGGACACACCAGGCAACGCGAATGCTTTGCTGCTTTGTGTGTGTCCAAGAGGCGCACAAACGCTCTGCAAGTACTGACTCTGAGGTTACAAAAGGTTCGCGAGTACGCAAATTCACAAATACGGAATCCACAAATAAGGAGCATCAACTGCTTATTTTGATTCATTTACAACTTTCCATTTGCTAATTTTATTTTCAAGTAGCCTAAAATACAATAATACAAATTTTTTTTAAAAGGATCTCAAAAAGGGGCGCCTGGGTGGCTCAGTAGGTTAAGGCCTCTGCCTCCGGCTCGGGTCATGGTCCCAGGGTCCTGGGATCCAGCCCCGCATCGGGCTCTCTGCTCAGCAGAGAGCCTGCTTCCTCTCCTCTCTCTCTCTGCCTGCCTCTCTCCTCTCTGCCTACTTGTGATCTCTGTCAAGTAAATAAATAGAATCCTTAAAAAAAAAAAATCTCAAAAAGCAGGCAAATAAATTGGAGTTTCCATGAACAAACATGATATTTATAACTATCTTTATTAACCTGAGTTCAGGTTAGCAATATCACTATGAACATTTTACATTCATTAACTGTTAAGCAAAATGTTTCTCTTTCACAAGAGTAAATACAGATACTTATAGAAAAGCAAATATAAAATCAGGAAAAAAAGTGTCATGTAACAACACAAGTCACCACTAACGTGAAAAAGCAGTCATCCATTACTATCTAAAAAACCTTGAACTAAAAAAAGCAAACAAAAAAACCTTGAGCTAAATGCCAATTACCTCCATCATAGGAATTTTTTGGCTCTATCTGTATCCTCATCCCACACACACTTATAAGACTTGACTAAAAGGATGCATGTATGAGAACATCTGCTTTTTCACTTCAAAAATAAGATAGGATTATTAAATATTTATCTAACATTCCTTCCCCTTAAGTTTTCTTGATGTTTTGACTCCTCGGAGTGAAAACAAGAACTCTAAAAAAATGGAATCTTAACATTAATTATGGACAATGTGCACATGATATGCAATTCTATAAAGGAGCCCTTGCCACAGTAAAAAGCTTCCAGGTGGGGGGAGGACCTACTTAAAACACAATGTTCTTTTTCTCAGCATAGAATGATCTTCTATCATATGAACAAGAAAGTGTGCAAGTGGTCAGCATAGAATTTCCTTGCCAACTCACAAAAGTATTAAATTTCCAACTGTTTAGTAAAACTCAAACAGCAAATTTAAGGTACCTCCCCACATCTGAAATTAATAATTAAAATATCTACCACAGTGACTAGTATCCCACCAACACTCACAAGTCCAAGCTTTCTGGCTTCGATCAAAATCTTATGTAAGTATCTCCTAAAAACAGGATTGCTTTGACTTTCATAGTCTTCCTTCTTCTTCTTCTCACACTCATCAATCTGTAATTACAGAATAAATTCAACATTAGACAGCATCCAAGTTTCACATAAGGGTCAAGTTTCTAGCCTAGCGGCCCCATCAACACCAAAGTAAGGAGCTTACCGTTATCACTTATATGAAAATACAGAACTTCCTACCTTCTGTGGGTTCTCTTTACAAAGGGCAAGTAGGTAACAAATGAGGAACACATGTCGAGCACTTAGCCCCAAATGGCAGTTTTTCTGATGACTTTCAGCAATTTTTTTTTTTAAAGACTGATCTATTTGAGAGAGGGAGAGAGAGTGAGCACACACACAAGCAGGAGGGGCAAAGGAGTGAGAGACCATCTCAAGCACACTCTGCTCTGAGAGTGGAGCCAGATGTGGAGTTGGATCTCCCTACTCTGAGATCGTAACCTGAACTGAAATGAAGAGTTGGAAGCTTAACCAACTGAACCACCCAGGCGCCCCTCACTTTCAGCAATTTTAAAGCTGAAGATCATGAAGCAAGGGGCAGAGATGCAGATGAGAAGATCATCTGGGACAATCTGCCTCTTCCCAATCCCAAAGCAATGATTCAGTGAACAAAGGAATAAAAGGAAGAAGAAAGGGAAGGAAGAAAGAAAAAATAGAGATAGGGAAACGTAAAAGATGAAGCCAGAAGATGAAATGAAGGGCACATCAAGGAGTTTCTTGAACGTGTGTATTACTTTTGGTCTTTTACTAATTTTTCCTGTCAACGACTGAGCACGCCCAACTCTACAGGCCACACTTCAGGAGGGCAGAAACACGGCTTCTCCAGAGTGTCTGAGCATGGCAACCCTCCACACATAATTCATCCTTCAAACAGATTTCCTCTGAACTGAGCTCTACAAACACCACAGTGGTCAAGTCACTGAGTGAGGGCAATTCATATCTTAGATACAAACTACCTTAGAACTGCCTTAGAACCTGTGATAACCAACTTTTATTTTCTAACTGAGTGTGAACCACAAGGTGAGTTAGCATTTGAAATGGCCTTCAGATGATGAACATGACAACTGAATGTCATACACAGACTTAGGAGAGAAGGACCCTTGAAAAGTCACATGGCAGTTTCCTCCACATGCAGGCAAGGTTTATAAACCTTTTTAAATTTCTCTTTAAAAGAATTTCTGAGAGAGAGAGAGAGAGAGAGAGCAAGCAAGTACGAGCAGGAGGCGGTGGGGGGGCAAAAGGAGAGGTGAATCTTAAACAGGCTCCACACTCAGCATGCAGCCCCTTATGGGGCTCGATCTCACCACCCTGAGATCATGACCTGAGCTGGAATCAAGAGTCAAATGTTTAACCAACTGAGCCACCCAGGAGCCCCTTTAAGAGAATGTTTTGTGTGGGTTTTTTTTTTCTTTCCTTTTTTTTTTTTTAGATTTTATTTATTTATTTGAGAGAGAGAGTGAGAGAGAGCCAGCATGAAAGGGGAGAAGGTTAGAGAAAGAAGCAGACTCCCCATGGAGCTGGGAGCCCAATGCAGAACTCGATCCCGGGACTCCGGACCATGACCTGAGCCAAAGGCAGTTGCCCAATCAACTGAGCCACCCAGGCACCCATTTTTTTTTTTTTTTTTAAGATTTATTTATTTTGTGGGTGGGCAGAGGGAGAGGGAGTCTCAAGCAGACTCCATATTGAGCATGGAGCCTGACACAGGGCTAGATCTCACGACCCTGAGATCACAACCTGAGTGGAAATCAATTAACTGCATCACCCAGGCGCTCTGAGAATGTTTTATAAAACAAGGACTCGAGACTCCATTTTATCAATCATATTTTTACAATGCTAAGCCCAAGATGCAAAGAATGGAGTGAAAAATTTCTGTATTTCCTAGTGTGCAGCCAAACAAGCTGTCACGATACTACAAAACACAGTTAAACTGAGGCAAAATTTATCCAAGCATTTCTTTGCTAGCACTCAGATGAGACAGCATTCACACCCAATAAGAACCACAGCAGCGGGCGCCTGGGTGGCTCAGTGGGTTGAGCCGCTGCCTTCGGCTCAGGTCATGATCTCAGGGTCCTGGGATCGAGTCCCGCATCGGGCTCTCTGCTCATCAGGGAGCCTGCTTCCCTCTCTCTCTCTGCCTGCCTCTCTGTCTACTTGTGATCTCTGTCTGTCAAATAAATAAATAAAATCTTTAAAAAAAAAAAAAAAAAAAAAAAGAACCACAGCAGCACTGACAGATCTGGAATTGAGATCTCCGTATTTCTGCTCACAAGCTCTCCCAGTCTCTCAAGCTGGAAACCTCCCTCCTCCACTCTATCCCTCTTCCCTCCTCCCTCAGCTACCCAAATTTACCTATTCCACCTTGGAGAAATCCAACACTTTCCTCTTCAACACCTGTCACGGCCTCAGTTGGAGCATTGGGCATTGCTGGACCTCTGCTACCCTCTCCTTCAGCGACCCCCTTCCACTGGGCCACCAGCTGACGGCCTCTACAGCCAAGAGGCCAGTTCCCACTCCACAGCATATATTCAAACCCCTTAACAATCTTGATTTATTTCCTTTCTCATAAACTCCATTTCAGCCACACAAATAAAAATATTGGATAAATGAAGGAATAGCTACCAGATTCTAAATTATAATAATCCCTTATATTTGCAAGAGTAATTCTTACATTTCATGGGTTGCCTTTGTCATGAGTCTATTATGACCCAGCACTGTGAAAGGTGACAGAAAATCAAAAACAAATAGAACATATTCCTTGTCCCTGGGGCACCTGGCTGGCTCAGTCGGTTAAACGTCTGCCTTTGGCTCAGGTCATGATCCAAGGTCCTGGGATCGAGCCCCCGTCAAGGTCCCTGCTCAGTGGGAAGCCTGCTTCTCCCTCTCCTCCCTGCTCATGCTCTCTTCTCACTATTTCTATCTCTCTCTCTCAAATACATAAAATCTTTAAAAATATATAAATATATTCCTTGTCCCAAGAAATGTTCAGTCTGGTAAAGAAATAATTATAACATGGTGAGATAAATGTTATTACAGGAAAATAAGAGTACTTAAAAACAAACAAACAAAAAAAGGCAAGGCCAGAGTAATGAAAAAGAAGACAAGGCTAGAGTAACTAAAGAAAAAAATTATACATAAATTATGCAGTACATACATAGAAACACATACAATGTTAGGAAAGACAGGAAACAGACAACGTACTGTAAGCATAAAATTCATGAATTAAAAAAAGTTCATACCTTATGAGTTAAAGAATCAAGTTTGCTATAACATTCCAACAATTCATCAGCATGTGACAAGTCGGGACTGACTTCTTTTTTCTCTGATACACCATATTTTACCTAAAGCAAAAGAGAAATTTTATTTCTTCATAGTTCAGTTATGAAAATAACCTAAAGTTAATGAAAACTAAAATCTGACTTCATCATTTTATGACTCTGTCATATTCTTCATCTGTGCTGAACAACCAAAAAAGAGTCTCAAATTTACTGGCTAAGAACTAAAATCAAGTTAGTTGGCAGCTCGACAGGCTTTATATTCATATTCAACACAGAAATAAGCAGGTGGGGCTGAAATCATCTTAGACTAAGACCCAGGGAGATATTCTACACTGCTAGTCATTGGTACATGACTCTTGACTCTGGAAGCTCTGTGAGTAACAGAAGTAGACTATTTCCATTACAGGACCAATAAGATCTTATGCACATGCTTTTTTTTTTTTTTTAAGATTTTATTTATTTATTTGACAGAGAGAGAGACCACAGTAGGCAGAGAGGCAGGCAGAGAGAGAGAGGAAGAAGCGGGCTCCCCGCTGAGCAGAGAGCCCGATGTAGGGCTCGATCCCAGGACCCTGGGATCATGACCTGAGCTGAAGGCAGAGGCTTTAACCCACTGAGCCACCCAGGCGCCCCGCATTTTTTTTTTTAATACCTGAGATTTTCTCATTGTTCCTGAAGCAGCATCATAGTTAAGCATGTCTGTGGGGTCAATCCAGTCATCATCATGAGCATAACCGGTTATTAGCCACAGACACTCACAAAGGAGCAGAGAATACAGCATCCTGCATGAAGGCTAAAAAAAATGTTAATAGACATAATGAAATATAATTATTTTTAGAAGAAATGGTTTTATAATAAAAACTATCTACTTCCTTCTAGTACTAAGATAAAGTTTTCTTTCTGAATAATAACTGAAATAAAAATACTCAGTAAAATGGTATTCACATTTAAACACATACACACCTATCTGCGCTGAGACAAAAAGAAAATAGGAACTTTTCATATGATTCACAATTCCATTCCTTGGTTTATACCCAAGGAATGAAAACACATATCCACACAAAAACTTGTACGCTAATGTTTACAGCCAACATTATTCACAACAGCCGAAAAGCAGAAATGATTCAAATGTCTCTCAATGGACGGGTAACTAAACTGTGACATTTCGGCACAATGGGAGACTACCAGGCATAAAAAAGGAAGAAGTACGGATGCGGGCTACAACACGGATGAACCTCGAGAACACTGTGCTGTGAAAGACCACACAGTAGAGGGTCCCACCAATATGAAATGTCCAGAACAGGCAAATCCACATTGACGACGGTAGATTAGCAGCTGCTCAGTCCTGGGCTGGTAGTTAAATGGCACAGGATTTCTTTTTGAGGTGATGAACAATGATCTAAAATTGTGGTAATGTTTGCGTGTACCTGTGAATATACTAAAAACCACTGAACTGTGCTCTTTAAATGAGTAAATAGTACGTGAATCACTGCTCAGTACAATTGCTTTTTTTTTTTTTTAAGATTTTATTTATTTATTTGACACAGAGAGATCACAAGTAGGCAGAGAGGCAGGCAGAGAGAGAGAGGAGGAAGCAGGCTCCCTGCTGAGCAGAGAGCCCGATGTGGGGCTCCATCCCAGGGCCCTGGGATCATGACCTGAGCCAAAGGCAGAGGCTTTAACCCACTGAGCCACCCAGGCGCCCCAGTACAACTGCTTTAAAAAAGAAGACATATTTAACCAAAACCTCTTCCCCCCAAATTCTTTTTTTTTGTAACACATGGAAAACAAGAAAATAAGAAATGTATAAGATTAATATTCAAACAAGGAGACTGGCCTCTCTGCCTACTTGTGATCTGTCTGTCAAATGAATAAATAAAATCTTAAAAAAAAACAAAAACCAAGGTGACTGAACTCCCAAACCATTCATAGAAAATAACTTGTTTCATCTAAGCCTCTGCAGAAACACTTTCAAATCATCTCAAAACTTAATACCACCTTTATTTGGGTAGTAGCCAGAAAGCTTATGTGGATATTTAAATTTAAACTAATTAAAATTAAATAAAATAAAAAGTTCAGTTCCTCATTCACGCTAACTGCATTTCAAGTGCTCAACACCCACGTGGGGCTAGTGGCCGCCACAGCAGACAGCAGACAAGGCAGCTACAGAATATTTCCATCATCACAGAAAGTTCTTTTGGACAGCCTGTCTTATACTTAATATGAGTAAAAATCTGGTAAGGGAATTCCCAAGTCAGAAAGCCCTGGGTTTAGAGTCTAGCTGTAAAAAGAAAAGGCTGTACCTACACTCCTCCTCTGTGCTCCCAGCGTGCTGTGCTTACTCTTCCAGCACAACTCACAATGAAATAAGCCACGTACTGGTCAGTACTGGTCAGGCTCTTCACTGGCACAGTGGCTATCACTCGTGGCTGAGCATTCGAAACACCTGGACAGCTTCTAAAAATCTCAATCTTCCGGCCACGTTCCAGATCAATCGAATCCGAGTCTCCAAGGCTGGGCCCCAGGTGCTGAGATTTTTAAAGCCCCTCAGGTGGCTCCAATACGCAGCAAGGGTAAAAAAACCACCGTGCTAAGATGCGGACTTTTCCAGGGGGAAGTAACCTCTTATTGCCATCAGAGTTCACCCCCCTGAGAACTCTCCATTTTGCCTGCTCCACCTCTCCACGTCCGAGACCTAGCCCAGCGGTTGGTGCATGAGAGGCATTCAACAAATGTTTCTTAAGCAGCAAATGCAAATGGTCAAAGCCACACAGGCAGTCACAGGGTTTTAGAGGTTCAAAGGATAAAGCAAGCTCATCCGACTGGGGGAAACTGGCACCACTTCACGGAGGAACAGGGGTGGAGATAGAGAAGCGTGGGTAACATGCGGAGAGGGCGAGATGAGGGAGGCAGAGGAGCGAAGTGAACCCTCGAAAATGTAAACTTAAGGATGGACGTGCTGGGGCCGGGAGATGGTTGGATGACAAGGTAGGCTTGGGTGATAAGGCCCACAGCCAGCCTCATCTGCTACCAGTAGCTATGAACGCAGGGGAGCCACATCTGGGGAAGAGAAAAGCAGCAGTAAGTGTACAGAATGAGGGAAAAACTGGACTTAGTAGAGTCCTACAAGGAGGCTGAAGAGCATTCTAAAGATTAGTTCTACAGCCCTCAACCACTGAGTGCCCGTAAGGCAACAACAAAAAGGTGTTATCACTAACTTCAAAGAAATTCAGAATGAGAACACGGTTTTGGGGAAAAGCTCAGCTTTCATTTGTTCAAAACTTATTAAACACCTACTGGATATTGGGCACTATCTTAGGTGACGGGGATACCAGGAAACTAGCCCCGGTTTTAAGAAGCTACATGGAGGGGAGGGGCACATGAGGCCCGGGAATGCGGTGGAATAATAAGTTGACAAAAAAATAAATATCATTTCAAATAGTGATACATCCTATGAAAAAAATAAAGCAGGATAGTGGCAGGATGGATTAGGCAATGTTGAGTATTTTAGGGAAGGCCTGAGATTAAAGATAGCCAAAATTCCATCAAGTCCCCATCAAGAGATGAGAGTTTATTTGCCCTCCTCCTGCATCTGGGCTGACCCTGTGAAATCATGGGTCATGAAAAGAGGAAAACCTGAAATAAAACAAAAACATTTCTCTGGGGTTTAGAATTATAATTCGGGAAGCAACCCAAATTGTGGCCCACTGCAGGGAGAAAGTTAGGGGTTTTTATAAGAAAAGGGAGGAAGGGGGTGGGGCGCCTGGGTGGCTCAGTGGGTTAAAGCCTCTCGGGTCATGCCAGGGTCCTGGGATCGAGCCCCACATCGGGCTCTCCGCTTGGCAGGGAGCCTGCTTCCTCCTTTCTCTCTCTCTCTGCCTGCCTCTCTGCCTACCTGTGATCTCTCTCTGTCAAATAAATAAAATCTTGGGAAAAAAAAAAAAAAAGAAAGAAAGAAGAAGGAAGAAGTATAAGATACCTTACATCAGCTGTCCACCAAGAATTATAACTGGAAGACATTACAATTTATAATTCATTGTTTTCTAGGTATGTTAGTTGCTAGGGATGTCCCTTTTTCAGAGTATCCAATTTTTGTTAAAAAAATACAGACACATCATCAAGGTGCTCAGTCATATGCTCTTGCCCAGTTCAACAACGGAATGCAATTCCTGTTCCAAAAACGTGATGAAGTTTCTGTCACTATCTTCTTACGAGTAAAGGTTTTACATAGGTTCACAATATTTAGCCAAAATATTGTGGTAGAAATGATGTTGTTTGGGTTCTAGGTGCGGCTTGGCCTATATGAGGTTTAGCTACTTCTACATCACTTTCGAATGCCTGCTTTTTGATCTCTGCCACCATGCCGTGAAAAGACCTGGCTACACGGATAGGCCATGTGCAGAGGGCACACTTAACTTCCAGCTGGCAGCCAACACCAACGGCCAGCCATGTGAATGAGCCAGCATGGTGGTCCCAGTCCAATCCCATGGTTGGACAGACTTAGGACCCAGCCAATATGACGTGGAATAAAAGAACTATGCCGATGAGTCCAGTCAAGGCCCATAAGCCCATAGAATCATGAAAAATAATAAAATCGTTGTTTAAAGCCTCTAAACTTTGAGGCGGTTTGTCACACAGCTGCAGATGACCACAACATTTAAGCAGACAAATAAGCAGCAGCTACCTTAGGAAGACTTGGCAAAAGAACATCCAGAGTGTAGATGCAGCAAGCATAAAGATCAGAGCGGGAAGAAAATGTGAAGCATTCAAAGAACAGCAGGAAGGTCAAGATGACATAGTAACTCCATGCTCAAAGCACTCCCAGGGCTCCTACAGCGGGTCAAAATGAAGTAACAGGGGCCAGATGTACCCTCCTGCCTGAACAACAAAACCTCTGCACAAAGTCTATGAAGTAAGTTTTCAAGACACAGGACACCAGGCAAACAAGCATAATGGTCTTTGAAAAATGGGAAACAAACACAGACAGCCTTTCCATTGCCCTAGTTTACTGCCTTAATAGTTTCCAGGCCACTGCACAGGAAGAGAGACCTCAGGCAGAGCCCAGAAAGCCACTGTGGAAACAGCTGAGAATCTGGGGGGACTGAGGCAAGAGAAAGGTGCCAAGAGAACTCCAGACAAATGAAGACCCCAATTCCTTCAAATACCCTAGGAACTTCCTGAGTGACAGCAGTGTCTCCTGCAATGAGGTGACACTGATGTGACTTTGCTGGACCCCAAGGAAGCTTCAGGTGGGGGATGGTCATCAGAAAGACCAGGCACGCAATTAGAGTGTTGGAACTTTCTTGGAACTTTCAACTATCCAACCTCAGGGGAAGGAAGGAAAGTGGTCACTAAGTTCAATCACACAGCCAATGATTTAATCAGTCATGCCCACATACTGAAATCCCAATAAAAACTCTGGACACTGAGGCTCAGAGGAGCTGGCTGGTGACACACGGATGTGCTAGAAAAGTGACATGCCTGGATTCCATGAAGAGAGGACACAGAAACTCCACATCCTCCCCCACAGACTTTGTCCTGTGTATCTCTTCATTTGGTTGATCCCAAACTATATCCTTTCCAGTAAAACTGTTCAGGGAGTTCTTCTAGTAAGTCATTCTAGTGAATTATCCAACCTGACAGGGTTGTGGGATCCCCCTAATCTATAGCAGTAGGTCACAAGTGCAGGTGGCCCCTAAGATGTGTGTCTGTCATGGAGGCAGTCTTGTATAGGACTGTGTCCTTAACTTGTGAGGGTCTGTACTACCTTGGGTATGCAGTGTCAGAACTGAACTGTAGGACATCCAGTCTGCGTCAGAGAACTGGTCTGAGAACAGTGCCCCTCGAGCCTTTAGCAAGGCGCAGATCAGTGCACACACAGCAGGAAACCACCTCAGGCCTGAAAAAGAACCCCTTAAAGGATTCAACCAAAAAATAAACAGGAGTAAAAAATAATAAATTAGGACACAAACTTGTAATAGAGAAGATAAAAACCAAAAGTTAATTCTTTGAAATGACTAAAAAAAAATTGATAAACACATAGTAAAATTAAGCAGAAAAAGAGAAGGCCCCCAAAATTAAGAGTGAAACAGGATAAATTATTCATGACTAAAACACTTAACAAACCGGGAATAAAGGAAAACTTTGCCAGATAGAATACTACAGGCAAACAGGTAAATAGTGAAATCTTTCCCTCTGAGATCAAGAATGAGGTGAGGGAAAAAGCTCTGGAAGGTTTCTGGGATACCCACACTGTTCTCTATTTCTTAATCTAGAAGGTAGACACAAAGATGTGTGCTTTTTAATAATTTGCTAAGATGAACATTTATATTTTATACACATTCTGTATATATGTTATATTTCACATTTTACAAAAGGGTTGTTTTTTTTTTTTAAATGGGAAAGACTAACTGAGATATTGTTATGGTCTGAAGTGTATTCCTCCAGAATCCACATGTTGAAGTCCTAAACTCCAGTTCCCCAGCATGATTGTACTTAGAGACAGTGTCTCTAAAGAGGTAATTAAGTTATAATGAGGTAATCAGCATGGGCCCTAATCCAATATGACTGCTGTCCTTATAGGAAGAAATTTGGACACAGGGCAGAGGAAAGATGATGTGAAGACAAAGGCAGAAGGCAGCCATCTACAAGCTGAGAGAGGCCTCAGAAGAAACCAACTCCGCTGACACTTTCATCTTGGATTTCCAGCCTCCAGAATCTTAAACAACAAAAATAAATTTTTGTTTAAGACATCAGTCTATGGCATTTTGTTATGGCAGCCATAGCAAACTTACAGATTTCTTCAGACATAAAAAGACTAAGAAAGTCTCCATCCCATAGACTCTTCACATATTAAAGAAGTTTAAACTCAACAAGAAAAGGTGTGAATAAAAGATACAATGATGAGCAAAGGTACTGGTCAAGTATATTGACAAATGAAGTCAACTACTAACAGTAAAAAAAAAAACCCAAGCCCCAGAACCTTTACTGTTTAAAAATGTAAAACCAGATAAATAACCCAGAAAGCTACTGGAAAGCTGGCAGAACAGATTCTCCACAGCCTGACATAGGCAAGAGGCAACAGTGAAGCAGACCCACCCCCTCCCATTGCTCTTGGTGAGATGTGCAGTGCCACAAGGCTGACAGTGTGCAAGCAGCGCAGACAAGGGCCAGCACCTCTCCAAAGTGAATCCTGCTCCAGGGAGGGGAAAATAACCACACACACCAGTCTGACAGCCACCCCAGCACTTGGTCTGGGGGCAGGCAGCTGGTCTAACTGCAGGCCCCGCCCACCAACAAAAGCTTCTCAGGGCACAATGCAGGGAAAGCACCCTGCACTTTGGTGCTACTTTATCTCTGGCAAACACCTGGTCCTACTCAACTCAACTCCAAGGCAGCCCTGGACCAGCCCACTAACAACACAGGCACCAGACTCTACCCACAACAGGCAAAGAGCCATCACAGTCTGGACTGAAGGCAAACACAGCTCTGCCACGACGGCAGGACACCCCTGTAGCAACACACATAAGAGACACCCCTGAAGCACTATTTTCTGGTGAAAAGGAGACACTGCACTGCAGGACCTCTTCTTCATAAAGCCACTACTTCAAGTGCAGGAGACATAGCTAACTCTCCTAACACAAAGAAACAGACACAGTAATAGACAAAATGAAGAGACAGAAGAGTATGTCCCAAACGAAAGAGCAGAACAAAATCACACCAAAAGATCTATGTGAAGGACGGATAAGAAATACATCTGACAGAGAATTTAAAGAAATGCTCATAATGATACTCAGTGAACTTGAGAAAAGAGTGCAGGACCTCCATGAGACCCTCCAACAAGAGACAGGGTATGTAAAAAAGAACCAATTAGAACTACTGGACTCACTAAGTGGAAATAAAAGTACACCACCTGGAATAAATACCAAGCAAGAGGAAGTAGAAGAACAGACCAGAAATCTGAAGGACACAGTAATGGGAAGTAATCAAGCTGAGCAGATGAGAGGGGGAAAAAATACACAAAATGAGAACAGACCCAGGGAACTCAGTGACACTTTCAAGCATAACAGTCGCATGATAGGGATTCCAGAAGGTGAAGAGCAAGAAAAGGGGGCAGAAGATTTGTCTGAAGAAATAATAGCTAAAAACTTCCTGAATCTGGGGAAGGAAGGAGAACTCCAGACCCAGAAGGCACAGAGAGCCCACAACAAAACCAACCTAAAGAGGTCTGCACCAAGACACAAAATAAATAAGATGGCCAAAAGCAGTGATAAAGAGAGATTTTAAAAAGCAGCAAGAGAAAGGAAAGCAGTGACATACAAGGGAAACCCCAGATGGCTATCAGTGGGTTTTTCACCAGAAACTCTGCACGCCAGAAGGGAGCAGCATGACAAATTCCAACTGCTAAAAGGAAAAAATCTACAGCTAAGAATATTCTATCTAGGGAGGCTTTCATTTAGAATAGAAGAGACAGAGTTTCCCAGAAAACAAAAGTTAAAAGCAAAACTCGCCATGTCCTTGTCAAACATGCCATCAGCCTGTGGGTCCCAAATTCAGTCCAACCGCCCTCCTGCCCGAGTCAGCACGCATGGCCTGCCACCTGCTCAATGCCAAGTCAACATGCCTTCAACTCAGACTGCCAAGGGCTCAAACTGGCACTCTTCCCCTCAAATTCTAGACCCTGTGCTCAAGTTTGTGCACAAAAGTTGGCATAATTTTAACAGCAGAATGAAGCAACCCAAACAGTGATACTATTTCTGTGGAATATATAATGGGTAAAAAGAGTGTGCTAGGCTGAGAATATCTCCAACAAGCACATCAAAGAATAATACATATAGCATGATTCTGGTTACTAAAAGAAATAAACCTGGGAAAAATAAAACAAGATGAAATCAGAGAGCAAGACAAACCATAAGAGACTCTTAAGCATAGGAAACAAACTGAGGGTTGCTGGAGGGGAGGAGGGTGTTCGGAGGTTGGGAAAGAGAATTGGATGATGGGGACATGGGAATGGGGTAACTGAGTGACAAGCATTAAGGGAGAAACTTGATGGAATGAGCTCTGGGTGTTCTATGCAACTGATGAATCACTCAACTCTACCTCTGAAACTAGTAATACTCTATATGTTAATTAATTGAATGTAAGTTAAAAAAAAAAAAAAAGGAACCCCCCCAAAAAAGTAAAACCAAAATACTAAGCAATAATAACGGTGGAAAAAGTATCCTAGGATCCCTGTTGAGCTCTAGAGAGTGAAATACTGGATGACTGAATATTGGGGAGGGGGGTGGTGTTCAACTAAGGAATAAAGCCTTGAGAAGACTGAAACCCAAGAGAAGGCAGTTAAGACTAATGAGAGCAGAACAAAAGGTAAAAAATGCAGTATATAGAAACCAAGACCTGCTTCATTTGAAAGAGGCATTAGTCAACAACAGTTTAGAGAAGCTGAAAAAAATTAAGTCTGGTGCGGGGGGGGAAGCCATTGGATAGCTTAGTCCATTGACAGGGAGAAGCCTAATTTTAAGCAGTGAAGAACTAAGTTGGTAAAGGGAGCCTCTGAACTGAGCAGAAGCTCGGAGAAGATGGCAGCATCTGAAATCAAGGCTACAGAAAAGGCTTTCCAGAGGCAACAAGGTTTTACATTCCTTCAAAACAGAAATGAATAAGGAAGGTTGGAAAGAAAGGTTCTAAAGCAAAAAGAAGAGAAGCTGGGAGAGTTCACCTTACCACCCAGTATCAAGAAGACGGTGATATGGTCCACTGGAAAGCCAGGAGTGTCACTGTGTGTCAGGAAGTTGCCACGTGGGAATGGAGATCTGGGAAAACAGCTTCCTAGGGAGCATTATACAAAGGGAGATGAATCAAAAACTTTTCAAGTAGCTGAGTTTTGACTAGGACTTTCACAGTCATGTTATTAGGCTCGCTACTTTCTCCAATAATGATCAGCAGAAGCAAAACTTATCCAGGACTAGGAGCTGAAGAAATGATGGAAGATCAGGAGGTGAGGCAGAAGTGGAACAGCTTCAAATTCAAGTCCTCCTGACAAAATCCCTTGGTCACTGATTAAAGGCTGGAACTCCTTGAGAATTCTTACAGTTGATCTCACACTTCCTCCAAATAAAACTGCATCTAAACCTGCCAGGGATCTTGTTAAAAAACAGCTTCTGATTAAGTATGACGTGGGCCTGAGAGTCTGCATTTCTAACAGCTCCTGGTGATGGCAGAGATGTTGGCCCACAGACCACATTCTGAAAGTGTTTAGGAAAAGTAACCATCCTGCATTGGTTAGGATAAGGAGGGCATCTGTGACTCTACTACTTGGCAGTTAGTAATAAGATCTCTCCTCTAGTTCTTACTTTTTAATCACCTTTCTCATCTGCTTCAGGCTTTGACACTAATATCAAAAATAGGGGGGTGGGAGGGATGGGGTGGCTAGGTGATGGACACTGGGGAGGGTATGTGTTATGGTGAGTGCTGTGAATTGTGTAAGACTGATAAATCACAGACCTGTACCCCTGAAACAAATAATACATTATATGTTAATTATATGTGTGTGTGTATACATACACACACACACACACACACATATATTAGTGTTTGATTACTATGTGCCAAACACTGTTACATACTTTCATTCATTTAATTCTCCAAAAACTCTTGGCAGTAGTACAGTTATCTTCATTTTACAGATTAGGAAAACAAGTAAATTGAGTGGAGAGCTACCAAGAAAGATCTCCAAGCAAACTCTCAGCTGAGTGGAAACAGGCACAGAGAAATTATCTGATTTCGATGAATTACACGTGAATGAGAAAGACAAGACTAACGAGTCAAATTCTATATTAACTCAGAAGTTGCATGGCACAACAGCCAGGAGTTCCCAATTTAGTCCGTTTCCCTGTTGAGTAGTTTGCGGGAGCCGGAGCTCTGACCCTTGAGAATGGGCACCTTTAACAATTTCCCAGATGAGGACGATGACGCTACACTGGGGATCACACTTTCATGGGCACTGCCACGGAGAAAATACTTATTTTCACCACCCACCCATAAATCTGAATCTCTAACTTTTTACATTCATATCAGATTTGGAGTTAAAAAAAAAAATCACTCCAGCCAACCGAGCTATTCCGCTGACGCCGTTTGCTCAATTTCTGCGTAAAGTTTTCCGAGATAACCAAAGACCACACGATTCAGCGTTCGCTCGGGTCTGGCTTTGCACTTGCTTGTCCCTCTCCCCAGGCCGCTCTTTGAACCGTGTAAACCGACAGCAGCCCAGCTGCTCCCGAAGATAAGGCGGCCAGTCGCCCGCTCATCCTGGCACCCGCAGCGCCGCGAAGTACCCCCGCAGCCCCCAGAGAGCGCGGCCCCCGCCCCGCGCAGGGCCCGCGGCCTCCCCGGCGCCCGCGCCGCCGTCCGCCCAACCCGCCGGGGCCGAACCCGCAACGCGCCCGCCACACAGACACCCAAACGCGATGACTCACGGCTCGGTACTCCTCCTCCGTCTGGGAAAGACAGACACCTAACCCGCGGACTGGGAAAGATGGCGAGCGCCTCGCGCGTCCTCATCGACTCGCTCGGCGTGCAGCTGGGCGTCCTTCCCGGGCCCGCGACTGATTGGCCCGCCGAGGGGGCGGGGCCAGGCTCTGCGGTCTTGCTTTAGGCCAGGGCTGAAATCTTACATGGAAGGCAAGTATGTACAGAGCGTGTTTTCTTAGTATTGATTTATTTTGTAAGTCCGAAAATGTAACCTTTGCATCAGTTATTTAAAGTAGGGTATAATGAACAACAAAGTCGTATTTTGGGGAGGTGTGCATTGTACACCGGTGTGCATTATTACCGTTATTGACTCGACAGGCTGTTGAGGACAGGGAAGAGCAGCCCTCTGGTTTAGTTGGAAAATAATAAGTTTCGTTTTGCTTTTGTCTTTAACTGCTGGCTTTGCAATTTCAGGACATTCTCCAGAGAGGAAATGAATTTTTCACACTAGAAGGAAATGAGAAGTATACACAAGAGTTCTTGGCAACAAATTTAAAAGTGTGTTAAAATTCGGTGTATCATGCAGTACACTTGTGTGTGTTGCTTAGTACTAATTTTTAAAATTAAAATATACCTGACATAAACGTCACGACCTTAATTAACCATTTTTAAGTATACAGTTCAGGGTCATCACAGCGAACTGTGCAACCATCACCACCATCCATCTCCAGAACTCCTTCATCCTGCAAAACTGACACTCTACCCATGTAAACAACAACTCATCATTCCCGGCCCACCCCAGCCTTTTCCTGACCCCTGGCAACCACCATTCTATTTTGTATCTCTATTAATTTGACCTCACTAGATTCTTAAGAATTTTCTCTTTGTGGCTGGCTCATTTCACTTAGCCTAATGTTCTCAAGGCTCATCCCTATTGTAACTTGTCAAAATTTCCTTCCTTTCTAAAGGCTGAATAATATTTCATTGTATTATGTACCACAGTTTGTTTATCCAGCGATCTGCTTACGGGCTTCTTGGTTGCTTGCACCTTTTGGCTATTGTGAGTAAAGTTGCTATGAACATGAGTGTGCAAATACCTCTTCAAACCCTGATTTCAGTCTTGAGGGGTAAATGTCCAGAAGTGGGATTGCTGGGTCATATGGTAATTCTATTTTTTGAAAACCACCATACTGTTTTCTACAGTGGCTGAGCCATTTTTTAATATGATTAGCAACAGTTTAATGAAACCATAGTATTTACAGGATTCTCAAATGAAAACAATATAAAACTTGTCATAAAAATTAGTAAAAGATGCAAGGTAGAACTCATTTTAATACTGGTACAATGGCAGGGGTGCCTGGGTGGCTCAGTGGGTTAAAGCCTCTGCCTGCATCTGGGGTCATGATCTTGGGGTCCTGGGATTGAGCCCTGCATCAGGATCTCTGCTCAGCGGGAGGCCTGCTTCCTCCTCTCTCTCTGCCTGCCTCTCTGCCTACTTGTGATCTCTGTCAAATAAATAAATCTTTAAAAAAATACTGGTACAATGACAATAGCAGCTTTACAAATATTTTAAGATTTCAATAGCATTTTTATGAACCATTATTCCACAAGAATGATCAAATCATCACATTGTTTAAATTAAACTGAGACAATACAAGGTGGCTTATTAATATTACAAACATTATAAGTGCCCCATAAAATATTGTTACAGATGCTCAAATGTTTTATTCTCAGTGACCATTCCCTTTATTCTCACATACTATAATTGTAGCTAGCGGGATAAAAAAATACTACAATCAGATATGTTTCTAAACTTCCTTATCTGTTTAATTCTTATTCATAAATGGGTTGTAAACATAAATGTGGGTCTCATAAAGACAAAACATTGCCCCCAGGTCTGCTTTCCAGTCTAGTGACTTCCCACAACTCTCTATTTGGCATCTCAAAGCAGTATCTGTAGAAAAATAGTATTTCTGAGAAGTTACTAAAATATCTTTTTTAGCCTATGCTAACCAGGGATTAGTCCAAGGGTATCATCTATGTAGCTGCTTCCTGTCAGGCTAGAAAGTTCAGTGACAGTCAAAACCCCTTATTTCCTATCCGTGAGGTTCTGTCATCCTTCTTCTTGGAAATGTGGTAGACGTTATCATCTTCAAAGCTAATCCTGTGCCTTCAGTCCCATTCACCCTAATGACAGTTCCCTTTCCTCCGTGATATTTAACAGATCAGTGATGGTGATATTGGCTGAAGCTATAGTAGTGTCCACTGCTAAGTACTTAACATCTGACAAACTGGGGGCTCCCAGAAATACTTGGCAATTTCGTAGGACTTATATAGGGTTGCCAAACAAAACACAGAATGCCCAGTTAAATTTGAATTTCAGATGAACACTGAATATTTTTTTTAGTATAACTATGTCCCATGCAATATTTGGGACATAATTATACTAAAAGAAACCATTCATTGATTAATGGGACATATTTATACTCAAAAGTTATTTGTTGTTTGTCTGAAATACAAATTTGATTGCATGCCATGTGTTTATAATTGTTAAATCTGGCAAGCCTGGGCCAGCAGGGAAGAACCTGTGTTTCCGTATACAGGTGTGCATTATTACCGTTATTGACTCGACAGGCTGTTGAGGACAGGGAATTAGGTCTCAGGGTGAATCTACTATGGACTTCAGAGATCCTTCAGGGCATTGTGGAAAATACAAAGGTCATGTTGAGGTCCTCGTGAAACTTATATTTAGCTGCATGAATGTGGACAGCAGGTATCAAAGTAAGGAATATCTCAGACTTCAGTGAGTCAGATATAAGCAACTACATAAGATGCTAGAAATGATACATTCTAACTTTTAAGGTCACTTAAAATGGACATTTTACTTCAAATCCTTCTGGAAAATGATTGGGTTTGAATGTGGTCTTATCTCTATAGTTGAACAAAAATCAAATCTAGAGGGCCTTTTTTACTGATTAAGTTTGTAGCACTTAATGGATGCATTAGCCTTACAGGTTAAAATACTCTTTTTTAAAAGATTTTATTTATTTATTTGACGGAGAGTGAAAGTGAGGGAGGGCCCAAGCAGGGGGAGCAGCAGGCAGAGGGAGAGGAAGAAGCAGACTCCCCGCTGAGCAGGGACCCTGATGCAAAGCTTGATCCCAAGACTCTGGGATCATGACCTGAGCTGAAAGCAGATGCTTAACAGACTGAGCCAACCAGGCGCCCTGAAATACTTTTCTTTTTTTTTTTTTAAGATTTTATTTATTTGTTTGACAGACAGAGATCACAAGTTCGCAGAGAGACAGGCAGAGAGAGAGGAGGAAGCAGGCTCCCTGCTGAGCAGAGTCCAATGC